CGGGATGACCTATTACTATTAAACAGATTTTTATATAATTATCATAAACCTTATTTTTTTTTTTTATTAATTCGCTCATTTATTGTAAGTTTCAAAGGTCGAAAACCAAAAAAAAAATTATTGGTTGAGTAATAGTATTGCATATAAAATTCTACAAACATTTGTTTAATTTTTCCAAGATATCAATCAATTATTTTATAATTATTTATAAAGTCTTTGCTACAATATATGTTTTTTGTAAACGAATGCAGTTCACCAATTCGTAACGATCCATTTCGGGAATTTGGAAAAAGGGAAATCTCTATCTTTTTCTTCGAATCAAGGTTAATTGAAAGAGGCAATTTAATTTTACATGCTCTCCCACCCAAAAGAAAGGATGAGATCACTAGTGAATTGTTTAGGGTAATGGTTATACATCAAAGGGTGATTAGAGCCGCGGGCATAATTTTAACCAGTTTTATATTTGATGCTTTCCTTACAGTGGATTAGGGTCAAAATATATTCTGAAAATAAAGAATTCTCGTCAAATGTTACTTAAACAATAATAATAAAGGAAAAAGGAAAAACGTCTGACCAAAACTATTCGAGTATTTATCGAAGTATTTTTCTGTTCTGCTCTGGGCAAGAATTAGAAATAGTAAAAAATTTATTATTCAAAAGTTTAGTCTAAAGAAATAAAGTAATGACGAAAAGATAAAATAAAGAAAATCATTGTGATACAAGTAGGGTAGTGGGAAGTATCACGTGAAAGTACGTTTAACCAATATTAATATGGAGAAGGCAAAATAGAGAAATATTCCTTATAATTATAACTTTTGATATACATACGTAAAGTTTAAAATAAAAAAATCAGGCTGCAACGAATTATTTTTGAATTGGTCCCCCCAGGAGCAGATCCATTTTTGGTAAGCCAATAATGACTTTTTGCTGTAGATTCACGAGCGCGTGAAATTCAAATTAGCCAATCTGAATTATGTATTCAAACATCGCCCCAAAAAATTTTAATTAAAATTCAAATTAATATATTAATATATAAATTAGCCCCCTCCCTATTTATGAAAACTCCCTTATGCAATGTCTTAAAAAGATCTAATATACATTGTTAGTAATGATCTTCAAAGGGTTTGGATTTTTATTGGCCAATTTAATGATCGGCAATGCGAAGATTTTAATCTTTGGTGTACTCCCAGAAAGTTTTTTGGAAAAATTTCTTGGGAAAACAATTTTGACCGTTTAAGGGATAATTATAAATAAAAAAAAAACAT